AGAGGGCCATGATGGCCCTGAGGTCGCTCACCTGTATATAGGCCCCCAACCCCACCCCCCCCCCCCCCCCCAAACGTTGCAGGGCCAATTTAACCCAAGCGCTTTTATTTGCACAAACTTGGTAGACACCCATAAGAAGATTTTTCATGCTAAACATCTAAGCTCTAGCTCATTGGGCTTTTTAAAAGAAGATATTTTTAAAGTTTTTACTATACACATATAGTTAAAAACAATGACACCCCTGTGGCTGGGCCAGTTTTGACCCCAGGGCTTTTATTTGAACAAACTTTGTAGACACTTACTAGAAGATGTTTCATGCTTCATATCTAAACTCTAGCTATTAGGGTTTTTTCAAAGAAGATTTTAAGTTTTTGCTATACACATATAAAGAAAATCAATGACCCCCGGGGCGGGGCCAATTTTGACCCCAGGTCTTTTATTTGAACAAACTTTGTAGACACTCACTAAAAGATGTTTCATGCTTAATATCTTAACTCTAGCTATTTGGGTTTTTTCAAAGAAGATTTTTTAAGTTTTTGCTATACACATATAAGGAAAATCAATGACCCCGGGGCGGTGCCAATTTTGACCCCAGGGCTTTTATTTGAACAAACTTGGTAAACACCTATTAGAACATGTTTGATGCTAAATATCTTAGCCATAGCTCTTTGAGTTCTTTAAAAGAAGATTTTTTAAATTTTTACTATATGCATATAGGGAAAATCAATGACCCCCGGGGCGGGGCCAATTTTGACCCCAGGGCTTTTATTTGAACAAACTTGGTAGACACTTATTAGAACATGTTTCATGCTAAATATCTTAGCTCTAACTCTTTTGGTTCTTTAAAAGAAGATTTTTTAAGTTTTTACTATATGCATATAGGGAAAATCAATGACCACCTGGGGCGGGGCCAATTTTGACCCCAGGGCTTTTATTTGAACAAACTTGGTAGACACCTATTAGAACATGTTTCATGCTAAATAGCTTAGCCATAGCTCTTTGAGTTCTTTAAAAGAAGATTTTTTAAGTTTTTACCATATGCATATAGGGAAAATCAATGACCCCCCCCCCGGGGCGGGGCCAATTTTGACCCCAGGGCTTTTATTTGAACAAACTTGGTAGACACCCATTAGAATATGTTTCATGCTAAATATCTTAGCTCTAGCTCTTTGGGTTCTTTAAAAGAAGAATTTTTAAGGTTTTTACTATATGCATATAGGGAAAATCAATGACCCCCCGGGGCGGGGCCAATTTTGACCCCAGGGCTTTTATTTGAACAAACTTGGTAGACACTCACTAGAAGATGTTTCATGTCAAAAATCTAAGCTCTAGCTCTTATGGTTTTTTAAAAGAAGATATTTAAAGTTTTTTCTTTTGGTTGCCATGGCAACCAGAGTTCTGCATGGAATTAAATTCTTTGAACAATTTTTAAAGGTGACCACCAAAGGAACATTCCTGTGAAGTTTTGATGAAATTGGCTTAGTGGTTTATGAGGAGATGTCTTTTAAAGTAAAAGTTTACGGACGGACGACGGACGGACGGACGACGGACGGACGACGGACGGACGCCGGACGAAAAGCGATCACAAAAGCTCACCCTGTCACTTTGTGACAGGTGAGCTAAAAAACCATTGAGCTGCAATATTTTATGATTGTGAATTGCAATCCGAATTGCCTTTTATAAAAGTGAAAGCAAAACATATTTTTTGTTTTAGTTTATGATAATCATATAAAAATTTATTAATTTTATTAGACAACGACGATAACAAAATATTGTTTGTTTGTGATATTTGTTTGTGCTGCTTATTTTTCTTTTGAATTGCCATTTCTTTATATGTCTTATCAATTATATTTATGGTTGATTAAATAATTGTTAATTAAGTTTTTTTATGGTAGGTAAGATAGGTGTAGCCCCGTGTCGTAAACGATTATGTAAAAAGAAAAATCATAAAAAAAACTTTTAGTGGTCAAATCCGTAGATAAACGAATTACAAATGACCGCAGAGCTAGACACCTTAAAGGTTCAATTTTCTTGTTAAACTGTTTATGGCATTTTTTACGACATGAATAAAAGGGTTTCGCTAAATCCCATCTTCTGGCTGCGGTATTTGCTTCAATATTACGGACAGTTTAATACCGCCTTTATGAATAAAATTAGCACTTTTATTCAAGTTCATCTCTTATTTATCCGTTCGTTCACGATAATAAATAGTTATGAAAATGCTATAAAACCGGGTCGCAATCTTTTCCTTAGTTTTTACATCTTTTGTGTAATTTTTTGCAGTTGACTTGAAGTATTATGGGAACAATGGACAGCTATGTGCCAAGTTTCGGATAAAATGAAAATTGGATGGTTTTACGATCCACATCTTTTCATTCTATTCAGAAGAATGGGTATAAATTGGCCATAACTAAACGTGTAAAAGTGTCGCATTGGATTAAAGACGGTGGTAAATGAACTACAAGAAAACAGGCAAATGCCAATAAAGAAAAGTCCTTGATTAAATCAAATAAATACGACGGTGGGGGAAATTGAGTGTAAACTGGAAAGCAGTCTCGATTTAACGAGGACAGCGCGGTAGGGGGTTGATGCAAACTCGTGGTTTGATTTGAACTGATGGTATTTCATGAGTTTTTACACGGAAATGCAACCAAATTGCATCCTGATCTATCAATGTGCATCAGATCATGTTAGCATTCCCTTGCAGTTAAAGAACACGTGTTTTCTAAGAAACAAAATGTTTTATTAATAGTTTCAGAACGGAAGCCGGAATTAACTAGATTTGATATTAATCGGCCTGGATCAAATGAGAGACTATAATTATCATTTGAAGCATTTCAGTAGTTAAATTTGTAATGAATACGTAGAGATATGGACTTGGGTGAGTTGCCGCCACGTGCTAAGTAAGATATTTTTACTTAAAGGAAAACAATAATTATTGTACTAAAGATTAATACAACGGCTAACGTTGAAACCAAAGTACCGAAATATATCTGAATTGGCATCAGCCAATGGTAACCCGTGCATCCGTGGTGGGAAAGTGAGGGGTAGCAGGGTAAATGCGAGGGGTGGCAGGGTAAATGCGAGAGGTGGCAGGGCAAATACGAGGGTGATAGGGCAAATGCGAGGGTAGGCAGGGCAAATGCGAGGGGTGGCAGGGCAAATTAGTCAAGTTTTTTACATTCCGTCTATGATCAATAAAGTGGTTATGTTTTGGCGTCAAAATAGCGGAAGATTCATCTAACATACAGTGTGGGGACAATGTGCATGGATTTTGCCATCTGACGGTCTCAACAGAGTGGGGTCTTAACTACGGGTTTGATAACCTGCAAGCAGAGATCTATGTCTCTGCTGTATAGATCTCTGCTGTTAGTCAAAAGTCAAAACACTCCCCCGCCCCCTTTTACCGGGTAGGACCGAAGTTATAATAAAATAATAAGCATGATTATATCAAATAGAGAAAATAAGTATCCCGTAAGGCCCGGTCACACAGCCCTCCACGGGCGTATCGCGGCCGAATAATGGCCAAAAATTTCTACCCGTGAAGCAGACGCCGTTGGACGCTTTGAGGTCGCGATAAAAACGCGATACAGCCGTACTTTACTCGTCGTTACACGCGGTAAGAAATTCACACGCGGTTGGCCGCGCGAAAAAGTTTTGGGCTGCCCAAAAATTTAGACCACGGGTTATCGCGGGCGGTACACGTGGTACACACGCGGTAAAGACGCGGTACAGACGCGAAACGAACGTGCTAAGACGTGCTACGGCCGCGGTTAAGACGTGGTAACACGCGGTAGGACGCCACATTTTAGCGGGTAATCGCGGGTGGAGCACGGTCATAGCACGTTTGTTCCGCGTCTGTACCGCTTTGTTATCACGTGCATTAGCGTGTGTACCGCGTGTAAGCATGGACAAACGCTTTTCTCCGCGTAAACAGTGCGCCCCAATACCGGCCTAATCACGTTCAATTGCGTCTTGTACACGTCCCAAATACGATTGTCCACGGCCTAATCGCGTCCGTAAAACGTCTGATTTTAGGTATATAAAAAGCGCGATTTGCCGAGCATTCGTCAGTTGTGCTCCAGACGTCAAGGGGTGAACATTGATCCCTGTCACCGTAATGACCTCGTCTTGCTGCTCAAGCAGCATCAGAACCAAGTGGTACAGGTCCATCAGCTCCTCATTGACTCGGAACTTCGACAGCAGAGTGGACGACAGCTTGCACCTCCACTGTGACTCCTGCCTCGGGCTTCTTGGCGGCCTCCACAGGCACTGGGCTGCCTTCATCTGTTGCCTTCGCCCTCGGCTTCTTGCTCGCACGCTGCTTCTTCTTCTTGGCCGGGAAGCTCGACGTGGGCTTCTTCTTCGGTGCCATAGCTTGATCTTCACGGGACTGTGTCTTGAGCGGTTATGATTTCTACAGCCCGGTTCGGCTGCTTTATTATACCCGTGGTAGGCCGCGGTACCGCCGCGCTTCACCCGCGATAAGGACGCAGAACAGTCGCCGGCGTCTGTTCCGCGGGCATACCACGGGTAAACCGCGGGTACGCCAATTTTGCACATTTTCCACCACGGGCAACTGCGTGCAAAAAAATTCGCGAAATTTTAACCGCGATACAGACGCGAAAGGCTGTGTGACCAGGCCTTAAAGAAAGCCCAACACGGCACAATTGAAAATGTTGCAGGCTCGGTTTGATTGAGCCTGTTCACGGACGGTACTGATAGGTGCAAGAAAAAAAATGTAAATCAAATTGACAGAAACCCACTCATGATAAACTCAATAAAGTATAGAATAAAGTCACCAAAAGACTCAATTCCGTTATTCCTTACACTTTCTTTTTTGCAATCAAAATTTTGTTTGCAAAATAAATAGTAGAATAAAAATAAATGGTTAAGCTGGCCGAATTTGAAAAAAAAACTAAATTAACTTTGGTGACTAAATTCATCTCTATAGAATATTATACGGTATTCAAAAATTCTAAAATTATACATGTACTTACCTTTCTACCCGCTTCGTTATTATGTAAATTCATTAATACACGCTTTATATTTTTACTTTTCCGTCGCCGCTCTCTGGCATCGACGAATTTTTGAGAAAAAGCAGTTCCAAAAGCTATATTGTCAGAACACCCTGACCACTCAAAACCCTCAGAACTCCGCCCACTGACAGTTCTGTCACACCCACAATGTTCGAGATCACCTTTACTACAAGCACGTGTCACTGCATGGGCCACGCCCGCAGCTGATATAGCATGTACAAAAGCCACTTCACGTGTACCTGAAGAAAATAAAACAAAACATATATATTTTGATATCTATTTATTGCATCTTTCAGTTAAAAGTGTACGTTTCTTGTTGTTGCAATACTATTTATTTACATATACTAGTAGCAGTCATGGAGCGAAATCTTATGTCTAAAATAGTCGTTAACTAATATTTGGCCGGATCTTTGTTTGTCTTAAAACATACTGCATAATTACATGTCCAATGATTATTGGTAGACTTTTAAATATTATAAGTTTACAACCAAATGAAGTAAAATCAGTTGAATGAAAATAACATTATTATATGTATGGGCGATATGAAAAGAGAAAAATAAGAATAAACGCAAAACGATATATCGATGCGATCGATTTATTTATAAAACAAAATTATTGCAATTTGCTAACGATTAAGTTGAAGATGGAAAGAAATTCGAATAAGAAATAAACTAATTTAATTTTTACTGCCTTTTCAATTTATTTCAATCAAGCTCAACCCTGCTTTCAGGAATGTGGTGTCATATGAAACAAACAAAGTAATGGCTACAATATGACTCGAACCTATAATACCTGGGATGGAAACATACATTTTATGACAAATGGGCGTGACATGTTATGTTTATACAATAGGAGTTACCTGTTTTTATATAATAACATACTTTGTCTTTGTACATACATGTATTTTGAGCTACAAGATGACTTGCTATGTAAGACAGTTATCAACAATGCCCCATAAGAGTGTATTCATATAAATCAATTAGAAACAATGAAAAAATAACAAGATTTGCAAAAAAAGTATATTAAGTACTTTAACGTCCAATAAAAAAACTTGTAGCAGCTAAATTTTCCTGTATAACATGTAGAAACATGTATAACCAAATAAAAACAAACATTAAAGCATACTGTATAAAATGTCTGTGGTTATAGCTGCCACTAAATCCGGCAAAAGTTTTATTTATTGTCATTTCATGAACATTAAACTTGGCGTCGCTGAGTTTTGTGCAATCAATTTTATCCAGTTTAAAATTTAACACCGTCCATGATTTCAATATCAAATGACGAACACTGACAAGACAACAGTATAAAATCTGATAAAGATGTATGTGTATGGGTTTGCATGCTGGCCTGGATCTATATGCTAATGGTTATATTGTATTGATATACAGGCTGGACTAGATCTATGCTCGTGATTTAAATGTTAAGACGTACAGGTTCGTCAGATCAAAACATCTTTGCTGGTGGATGTGCAGGCTGGCCTAGATCTTAAACTGTTAAGACTGTTGGTTAATTGTTTAGACGAGCAGGGTTGCCTATGATTGTGGTTAAACTGGATTTATGTTCTAATTAATTAATTCGTTCATTCGTTCGTTCGTTCACTCTTTTATTCTATAAGCATACACTACTAATCCCAATCCTAATGTTATCTAATTACACATTGGACGTTAATTGATACATAAAATGTTAACGATATACATGTATAAAATTATTATGCTCAAATTTGACATTGAAAAAAAAAAGTTAACTACTATTATATACAGTCTCTTTTGAAATGTAAAATAAACATCTTGAAATGATGTGTTATGTTTTAAACTCTAAACACTACAGGAAATCACACAGTATAATTGCATAGTGGCACAGTTTATAGATTCACTTATTCAAATTAGACATATTCAGGAAGAATTAAATATATTTCAATAAAGTTCTGCAATTAAAGTTAAGCATACTATATCTTTAAGGAAAATGACGGAGTGGCGAAACGCGACATAGTGTGTGTGTTGCCTAATCGGAACACCTCGACTATTATTCATATAAAATGAAAGTTGACGAAAAGGGCCGAGAAGTTGCGATTGATAATTGCGTAGAAAAACAAATACGTCATCAAATTGCTAACAAAAATCTGTAAAACTTAATTTTAAACGATATCCAGCAATTTCATTCGAAGAGAAAGTTAGTTATGATTTAACCAATTAAAACTTCACTTTTTAAAGTTTATTTCTAAAGTCAATGAGGATCCTATGTGTCATAAGTTTTTATTTTGTTTTGAAAAAAAAGATCGCCAGGAATTCACATTAACAAAAACTGTGTCATGTTTTCAAGATCATTCCCTTTTTAAAAAAATCATCAGGAATTTATACAGAAAATCGTATCATTGTAATACAAATTTGATATAGAGGGAAATAAACGAACTATAGTAATTAAATAGGTATTTATCCGCCGTATCATAGCCATCACATAGCTCCGTTGTGACTGTCAAAACAAACACGTCACTTAAACGCATGCTTACACACGCTCTTTCAAGATATGGTGTATTTTTCTAACTTGAAATTAAGCGGCTGTTATGTCGAAAGTTTGCATGATTCTGTGACCCTGGGTGTAACAATTTGTATTATTTCGACAGGCAGTTATCCACCCATCAGCCTGTCTATTATCGATGCTCTAATCACAAATACAGATAAAGATTCTTGTAGCGGATCGTCTAAACAAATAGCGAAAATAAAGTTTTATTTGGCGTCCTTTCCGTTCCATCAACATCTTATAATTTTGTCCCCTTTAAAAATAAAAGCGTTTAATTTCTTTTAAAAAGCATATTTGCGCTCTCTGACCAAGAAAAATCCCTAATTCTAAATCTTTTCACACATACAATGTCTTTAAAGTAGATCACATCTTATCAAACCAAATATCTGTGATAGAGTGACGTCATACTGCTCGCAAGAAACGCTTGACTTGATAAAAATCAAAATCTTTCCTGTTAAATTCTTATACTATTTCCTTTTTTACAGAAATTAAAATAAAGATTTACTAAATTTAAGACGTTTTAATGAATTTCCATACCATTTCTTTATTTAAAAAGGGCATTTTTTAAAATTATATTCTAAAGCTTTGTATATGTTAGTGTTTCTTAAGTGAAATTTTAAAGATTGAAAACCCAAAAGAAAGCGATCGGAATGGAGAGAGTGTCAAAACGTTCACATTAAACATTGCTATTTTTCAGAAATTCTTGAATTTATATCTGTATACATATATGTTTCAATTCTGTACCCATACCGTACCCGAATAACTACGGCAACATTAATCAAGAGATGTATATCTGTATTTGGTATAGGACCATATCATCAGGGTCGGGGGGTTAAGTACTTTTCTATTTACTGAACAATTTAGGCTGATGATACAACGATGTGATGAAATTTTATCGCAGTTAGATATGTGTTTTTATTTTCAACGAGAATGCTTGAATACACACGATTTCCATCTTAAATAGTCGAATATTTCTTTAAATGTTTTGCGTATTTATTTTGGCATGAGTCAGTGCTGACGCAGGTTGTCTAACATTATGCTTAAAACATTGGAAACGTTCTCAGCTATATGAAATGTATCTAAGGGTTTAATTGTGCATTAACTATGTGCTAAAAGTCGGAATTTTTTTTTTAAATGTCAGTATTGTTAAAAAAGAAAGGAGAAAAATCATATCGTCGCTACTATATTATACAACTATTCACCAGTCTTTCCCCACTTTACACCGGTCCGTCCCCCGCTGTAAATTAGTCCGTTCCCCACAGTACACCAGACGTCCCCACTGTACACCAGTCAGTCCCCCACTGTTTACTTGTCATCAGAAACCTTTCCCAACCCCGGAGAATAGTAAATACCTAGTTAGGTTATTTGCGTGGCGCCACGATCACGTAGCGCTTACATCCACCTCTAGCTTTGACACGAGGGCAAGTATGAAATGACCCGAGCTCCACGGAACATCAAAATATTCCGTGTATTGACCTCTCTACTGTCCAGACCGAATAAAGAAGCAGTCTTGTTTTCGTCTAAGAAATAGCTGTCGATAAAACCCAATCTGTTTTATGGGGTAATAATAAGGTACTTTTTCACGTTTTGCATAAAAAACTAACTAGCCTTCAAGAGTTCGCATTTCTTTTGAGAGCTAAAGCCCGATATTTCAAATGACTGGTGGTTAATCAATACCGATGCTTCATCATCATTACTATAACATAATATGAATGACTCGCTTTGATTGCATTAAATCGTTTATTTTCAAAATTCTTCGTAAAATTAGAATTAAACGTAATGAAACTTTCGTTTGCTCTATTCTTCTCAGCTAAAAAAAAAACAAAAAAAAAACAACAAGTGCTGGCAAACTCGAATGTTCGCACGAGACAATATATATGTAGGTGCTAAATGCCATTCCATTCATCAGATGCCGTACTTTATTGGGTGTTAATTTCTTTACATACCCTCCGATAACAGAATTATTTCCTGCGCCTGTTTTTCTCCGGTTCTATTGCGTGCGTCGTGAAATTAACACATCGTAAAAGTTAATTGCATTTACAAGACATTTTATTTGGTGTAAAGAATGACAATCCGTGACTGATAAGATCTCGGATAAATTAACAACATTTTGAGAATGATAAATAACAATGGATAACCACTGATCTTATACAATTGAATTATCGTAAAGCAGATTTACGACAATGTGATTACATTGCTGAGTTGATAGCTTTACTTTATGTTTTTGTTCGAAAGATAAAGGAAAAAACGATTTAAAGTCGACGTTTTTAAAATTGACTATTCTTTACAAATCATAATTAAATAAAAACTGCAACATATTCCTGTAATCTAACAAAACTTTTTACAAAAATGTAATTTGATTTCCTTGTTCCAGAACACGTGTTTTTATAATCAAGCAACATAATCAAATTGTATTCGGCGCAGACGACAGTTTTCCTCTTGTTTGGGATTCGAACTCAGTGCATCAGTGATACGAAATCAGCGACCTACATCTGTAGGACACGTGACCGTTATATAGAGAGTACAACTCCTGTAGAGTAACACCCTTTGGGAGACAAATAATTTGAGGTGTTACTTTGTCTTACTTTGGGAAAAAATAATACTGTTGTAGTCATGAAAGAACGCTCTGCCAAGGCTTTACTGTAATAATATGGCATGCTAAGCTTTAATCTTTGGGTACGGTCATCAAAGCACATGGTTCTCGGGCATCAAAATAGCATAAGATAGATTTCTGTACATATATGAAGAGGGAACGTATACATCTCAAAATGTACCTTACCTAATTTAAGAAAATTTCCAAATAATTTCACAGGATCTACAGTACTGCAGTTCCACCGTCGGTTTCTGAACTGGAATTGGCACTCCTCTATTGCCATGTGAGCCCCGTATCGTACACTATCCATCACTTCTATATTCCGCCGACAGATTTTCTGTTGACGTTTAGCTAGTCCAATTAAACTTTCGCACATTCCAGGAACTTCGATAGCCGCTATACTACTCATTTTAGCAAGTGCTCTGAAAATGAAAAATGTAATTTAAGCGTATGAAATAATGTGTATGGTTGCATGGCCCCCCAAAAAGGATCGTATTTATGTTCAATGTATTTAAAAGACAATCATTGAACCTGTAGGACTAATGTTACAGGAATTTATTTGGTTAAAAGGAGCCCTTTTGAAGTCATTTTGGACATATATTGACATGAGTAATTTAACCGGTGACTTGACATTATATACAGTTAAAATTATTTAATAACGTGCATCTACAGGTGTTCTGTAGCGTCTATATAAAGAGCCTTGAGAATAATGTGTGCCTCTTCCACACTCTCGTATCACAATAGTTCCACAAACAAACACACAAAAAACCAATAACAAAACAACAAATGTTGAACTAATTAAAACGATGTAAACATGAAATAAACAAACAGTCGGACAGTCAAATGACAATGTGTAAATCATCTTTCTGTAGTTTACATGATGTTTTGCCATGTTAAGTCATTTGTTCGTGTTTTGGTGTGTTTAACAACTGATTAATTTGTTACGATAGTTTGCCTGTTCATTCATTCATTCGTATCTCGCTATTTTCACATTAAAAGTGACAAATTATGCGGAGCTGCATGTTAATCTATTATGTTTAACCTCCCTATGCATACTTTTAACACGGTCAATCTTACTTTTCTTTCGGCTATAAAAGCGTATTTTACCGACTCATTGCCAGAAGTGAAGTCAATTTTTCATCCGCCATTTTGTTTTTTGGCGACTAGACTGGCACACCGCTTTTTATTTACGCCTACACTTCAGAATCATTGCCGTAAGGCCAGAAATGTTACCAGTTCATTGTTTTAAATATTTAAGATTTTAAGTTATGCGGACAACCGTAAATTGTTTCTGTTTCTTTACTGAAGCGCTTGCTTTTGATGCTTTGTAGGTTAAAATTAATAAAAATTTATGGAATGATGGTACACGATATGCAAAACCGTCAACATAAATTTTGTGGCTATGTTTCACAATATTTGAAATTATTTTGAACCCATACCGTTATCTGTGTCACAAGAATAAAATTAAGTTAAAGGCCCATTATGCCCAAGAAATACTTTAATTTTTACTTCACTTTTGGTGTCTCGTTGTTATTTCTAAAACATTTATGACTGGCTTGTGGCCTTAACCGTTTTTTTCTGTTGCTTTTTGGCAATAAGTACAGTTAAAGTGATTAAGTGCTTTGTATGGAAGTCAAAATACTACTTTGATTTCATTTTGCTACTTCATTGACATATATTTTTTCCACATTCATTGCTAATTTCTTCAAGTAATAATCATTAAAGGTATATCTAGACAGTAATATTAATATGAACATTATAAAACCTATTTTTGTCTTTTCTAAAGAAGGAAAATAATATTCGTTTCTTAGGCATGGTGTGCCTTTAATAAACATGTTCTTTATGCCAAGAATAATTCGTAAGATTTTTACTCTTGTTAAATAAAAGTGTATTAGTTTAAAACATTAATCATACAATTGTATTATTTCTTGAAATAAATGCTCGTGATATAATAATACGACAGATTATCTTCCGTGACATTGATAATGACGTGTAATATGCCCTTGAAAACCAGATGGACGGACCAACCGCCAAAATATAACCGAAAATGTGTTCGAATTGGCATTAAAACCAATCAAACAAACAATTTAACAAGCAAACCTTCTTGATATGATCATACAATAGAATCACTTCTGAAAATAATCATACAACTATATTACTTCTTTGAATATTCAGGTCAAACATTTTCTTGGAATGATTATACAGCATATTGTTTCCTTAAAACACATATGGGAAGAAGAAGAAGAAGAAAGACAACAACAACAAAAACCAAGAACAGTTATTAATCACTTAAACAACAAGTTTCTCGTGATTAACATATAAACAAGCAAACACATATAATGGCATGAAAATTACCATGACACGAAAGTAAACATGTTATGGGCACCACACTCGTTACTGACAACATATTTACACTATAGGCTCACTTTCAAATTCATTCCACTTGTTGTCACCCATAAAAACCACCCTTATCCAGATTACACCTTTGTCACGCGTAAGTGATTAATCAGAACATTACAAAAAGAACAACACTAAATTACCATACATTAATATCAAAATTATCAAATTATCACTTTACACTAATTATTTGTTGTACATGTATATACCCATAAAATATATACAATCGAATAAGTGATCCCTATCAAATGTTGAGTAGTATATACTTCATAGAATAATCATAGAACTGTTTTACTAACTGGCATGATCATATACAAGTTTGTGAAATACAATTGATACAACTGATTTATATCGTGAAATAATCATACAACTAAGACTCATTGGAATGATCATACAACTATTTGAAAACTCTTGAATATTCAAACAACCGAATAAATTAGAAAATATTACAACTTTTGATCGTTATCCAATACTTCATGGTGGGAATGTAACAAAATTTAAACTTCAGTATAAATCGTTCAACACGGTGTTTGTTATTTTGTGGTAGTTATAAAACCATTTGCTTGCTGCATCCCGCAGAATCTCGGAGAATCTCGTTCGTCAAGATTTTTCGAAGTTTCCTGTGCATCTTAGTAGTATCTGTATCTGAACGTTTGTTTGAAAAAAGTACTCTATTTTATTTTAATTATAATTTTACTATTAGACACAAATAAATCCGAATTTGAAATATTAAGAACGAGGAACTATATCCTTTCCATTCAAAAACGGGTTACGCATGAAAAATTATCTTTTAACACCTGTTGAAATTTACAAAAAATAGTTAGAAAACTAGAAATTGGGTAACAAAAAAAAAACAACAACCCAACTTGAATTCCGTGTCACTTCACAAATCTTACATTTATCATTAATACATCACACTTTTAGAGTTATGAATTTTATAATCCGTTAACAGGCTTGTTATTTCAATTACTTTCACGTCTAAATTATCAATATATATTTAATGTTTTGAAAGAATTCCCACTTTCACTACACATAATACTAGTAAGCAGAATGTATATAGAAGAATGTTGACTGCACTCTGACTGAACCTTTCTGACTGACCCCAATCTGTCTTGACCAGCACTGACTGACCTCACTCCTGCCTGTCCCCACTCCGATTTGACCCACTCTGACTTGACCCCACTCTGACGGACCCAAGAAGAAGCAGCCTTATAAGATTACTGTTAAGGAAAGTGTTGTTTTTTTCTAATATTCATTCATTTTTATACTGTTGTTTTTATTATAACAATTTGTTCTTCATATTATTGTATGAACAAGAAAACGTACAGATGTACCCATTCTCAAAAACTATACGGTGTTTTGCTACGTGACTATTACGGAATACCATATATCAAACATCATTTAAGCTCGATTGTGAAGTCACTTCCTTGAACAAACCAGTACTGGTGTCATATGAGGAATCAAGATCGCGACATGAGTAGGGCTCGAACCCATGTTCACTGTGTCTCAGATACCTTTACCACTAGGCCACTGCTCATTCATCGCTTAAGAGTAAACTGTAAGTCGAAATAAAAACGATGTAAAATAAGTTCTGTTCTGTTCTGTTCTGTTTTCTTCACGTCATTATGTCGATAAATTCATAAGTAGCGGGGTAGGCGAAAACATTTAGTACAGTAATGAAAATACGATAATAATTCATATTTATTACAAGGTAATTTACCTTTATATGAAATATATACGTTTTTATCACATTCGTTGATAGTTTATTATAAAATGAAAATGTAATACACTGTCAAACATCGACCTAAATCAACTTTTGCGGGTTTTCAACGGGCTTGTGGGATGAGATCTTTAAATTAAGACATTACTCTGTCTCGTTTAGATGATAATCTCGCCGAAAACATACAAAAAATCACCTCGAAAATATTTTATTTTTCGATTTATCATCGAATGAAATTTGGAAGAAATGTTGCGTAGCGATTAACAAACCGTGGAAATAAGCAACAACTTAAATAGAATATATGTATATATACTAGTATATAAAGAAATATTTGTGTTCCCATTAAAATGTGACATATATGTTTTATGAAATGTGTATGATTTAAATTGCCTCCGAGAATTAAACATTCAGGTGTTCATTGGCAAAAAAAAGAAAGATTAAGACAGATAAATCAAACTTATAGTAGAAATTTTTAGCACGTGTTATTTGTGAGTTTTATGAAAATAATGATTTTGCAAATTAGAAGATACTTTTGAACGATATTATATTAATTCAAACGAGTTATTCGAGAAATGCTTTTTTGTTTTGTTGTTGTTGATGATGATTATGATGATGATGATGATGATGATGATGTTTTCTGCACGGGTTTTTCGTATTTGCACAATTCCGAGCTTGTTATGTTAACTTTTAAAAATAGCGTTCATGTCACCACAATATTACACAAAGTAAACATGTGTTTATTAAGGCTAGAAATACAAACAACTAATTAATATTCGTGTAAGAAAATTACAAAAAGGAAGGTCAATGTTAAAGATGTAATATGATAGAAAGATTTACCCAGTTGACATGATTTAAATTTATATGTTAGTTAAATAAGACTCTGAAAGAGTTATTGATCCTTCTCTTGAGAAGATATAACATAATTTATCAACGAGTTTTTTAAGGGCTTCTGTCTATTTTTAAACTGCTTACCACCCTTATTTTTTATTGGACTTGTTTTTCTTTCAATCTGGACAAAACTATTTATCATTGTATGGATTTTTTTTCTTCAAAATATGTACTGACTGAATTGCGACCAGTGCAGACCATGAACAGTCGGTGTCATCTGATATCAGTCTGCACGCACTAGTCACATGGGTAAAGCAGACTAATGCCCGGTCAAGTCTGATCGGTAAAGCATGCTGATGTATAATTACGGCAAAAGTCATTACGTCAATTTCGAACGCCGGATAGGTGACGATACGTTTTTTCATATTTTTTCCTCATAATTATGATATTCATTAGTTTACAGGCCGAATTTTTCTA